AAGTGCTACCTTGGCAGGGTTACCAGCTTGCTCTGGAAAAAAGTGTTACAAGGCGTGACCCATACTTTGGTTTGGCTTTCATATCAGTCATCCTTCAGCTAGAGATGATTCACTGTATCTGGTCACAGGTTCTCGCATTCCTCTGAAAAGTTACCTAACACTGAGAAACAGAAAGGCTGTTTTTACTACATATGCGAGAATTCACATTGTAACGTGCAGTTCTATCTGCTTTAGTCCAGTACCAGTATTACCAAGTCTTTACCATTGCTGCAAGAGTGGCTCAGCCCCAGTCTCCTTCCTGTCTACTCATCAAGGATTATTGTGGAATTGTTACCAGAAACAATATTAAATGTGAATTTTAGTTTAAATGTGATGTTCTACATCTTGTGTTAGAAGCAGCCTCTTCTGTTCTCATCATCTAGGAAATAGAAAATAAGTGTTCCCAGCCTGTGTCACAGAAGCAGTGTATTTTACTTTTGCCCATCTCTTGTTGCCAGGTGCAAACAAGACTTCAGACATTCGTTTCTAGCCTGCAACAGAAAACAAGTGAGATTGAGATTTTAGCAGTAAGTATTTGGCAGAAGCCTGAATTAATTTCAAATTCTTAATTAAATTGGATGATGCAGTTGCTATCTGGAAGAAACTACTGCCAATAGCCTCACTTGAGAGAGAACCAAATGAACCAAACTTCTGGTTAAATAAGACCCATGGCATGTTTTTTTTAATACTCGAAAATTATCTGAAATTGTGTGTATTGGACAGTTGCATAGAACAAAATTTAACAAGTATTTAGTTGTAAATTCTTAAGCTGTACTTATGCTAACTACTGTGGTAGATTTAATAACTTGTTCCTGCTAGATTTGCTCTTACATAGCTTTTGTTTGTGTATAGCTTTTAGACTTTGCTGACCATGTCACAAAGGACTTTAAAATGGTGTATGCTTTTCAGGAAACATACTGCCTATTTGGAACTTTCCGTAATGGAATCTGTCATGAACAGTTTGTTTAAAATGCTTAAAACCTTTGTAAATTCCCAGTTCTATCAGCACAAGTGCTCCTTTGGAAATCAAAAAGTCTGACTCCCTTCAGTATAGCTAATGTCTAGTTGGCAAACTGATAACAGAAGTACTGTTAAGTATTGATTTCTTGATTTTTACAGGTAGATCTGCCAAAAGCAATTGCGATACACTTCTTATCATTAGAGGTAAGCAATTAAGTATTGTCGTTAAAACTCTAATTGAACAATAGATGATAAATTCTGTTCCTAATGAAGTGGAATGTAAAATTCACCCATTGTATTTTTTCTCCTTCAAGGAGTTTGAATTAGGTTTTAAAACTTGAAAGGATTTTTTTACCCAAGGAGCTTGACTGAGGCTAGAAAAATCTTTTTGTCAAATGCCCAAGTTACAGAAGACACCATCAGGAAGTCCTAATCCAAAGCTCTGGGTTTTTTCCCCAAGAATAGTTAACTGAAATTAAGTCTTACTGCTCATTTTCAGAAACCAGTAAGCGTTAATAGCAGTTTCAACAAAGGTGTTTCTTGAAGCTGTTAATGAAGGAGGACCCAAAGTACAGAGGCAATTATTTCAAGTACAGTAGCTGAAACATCTCTTAGTGAAGCCAAGATAAAAAGGGGATGTATAAGTATTATATTGACACCTTTAACAACTCAGAAACTGCTCGATGGTGGGGGAGGGGGGGGAACCCACCAAAGACAAAGCTCTTTTCTTTCCTTCAATGACAGCAGTAGCTTTAAAGTCAGAAGTTCTTACTGGAGAGATGGATGCCTCCCCACCCCCCAAAAAAGCAAACTCAGGAATGGCATCCTGCCTGGAAGTGGATGTAGTACTTTCGTACCTTTCATCTGCTGCTATGAAGCAATGCTTGTCTGGTAATCAAACCCCAGTGAAACATTTGAAAATATTTTCAAAATACTTAGTTCATTCAGTCTATCCAAATCATGGAGATAGTTTATCACCTTTTACTTTAAAAAAACAAAAACCAAAAAAACCCAACAAAACGCACACGATCAGCTTGCATCATTCACTTTTGACCACCCTTACACCACAGTTCTCATATTCTATCCAGCATTGCGAAATTGATAGAGCCCTGTTCATTGCTTATGCCTTTTTATCGCTAAACTATCTGTGTTAAGAAACTGATCGCTAAATTCTTAATATATTTTCTTAAATTTTTAAAAAATCAAGTTGCACCTGTTGTTTATATGAATTTTATTTGAAACCTGTTTAATTAAGGAGCATTGACGTTACACAATGTTCAGAAGACTGAATCCTATCTGGAGAAGTATTTCCTTCATGAGAATGTAAGACTGCATCATAGTTCCTTGTCAATTTTTTTTCTTAGTTTGATGGAGACAGACAAGCCTTTGATGCTACTGTGAGACAACTGATGTCACGATGGCCAAAACAGAGATGTTCATACTTACAAGCAATTTGTGATGAAATTTACAGTATCAAAATGGAAAAGAGGTAAATTTGTTAAGCTCTTACAGGTACATAAAACATCTCCATTATTTCTGCATTCAAACTTTACTAAATAAGCTGCTCTTAATTTGTCCTCCCTTTTCCCTCTCCCTGAGAAAAAAAGAATTATTCAGGAAATGCGTATAGTTCCTTAAGTACTATGGTCATCTAATCCTCGCTTGTGGTAAAATGTAAATTCTTGGCCATGTAAATTCTTCATTTTTACAAGTTTTTTCAAGAAATTCTAAAACATATTCCCACTGTTCTCTCATTTGCTGCTTTGCTCATAAAACTGAATAGCAAACAACTATATACATTCAGGTATACTGCTATTCTACTACATAGTAACACTTTTTTCTCATGGGAGGGACTCAGCTCGCCTTTTAAAACTCATGAGCACATTTAATTCCTCCCGCTTTGAAGGAATACAATGGGAATCTGGCACAGCTGACAGACTGCCCAGCTTTAAGCAAACACAATGCATGCTCTCCAAACATGTACAGTAAAGCCTGTTTCTGTTTTCTAAGCATAAAACCATTTATGTTCAACTAGTCTCCTTGTTGGATGCTGGCAAGGCTGAAACAGATAGTCTGGGCACATCCAGTTTTAAGCCTCAAATTTTCAACTGTTGCATGTGCTGGTACAGTTAAGTGAGACCTGGGTATTTATGTCCTATTGTGGGTTTCATTTATAATACATTTTCTTGTACCTTCAAGCTGAACGTAGGTTTTACTTAACCTTTAAATGAGACTAAAAATTGACCAATTCCTTTTTCTTAGAGAAGCACCAAAATTCGCTCAGCTTTGCTAATGTTTACTAAGGCAACTAAGTATCAAGTGAAACATTTTTTTTCTTCCTGTGGCTTGCAAGGATGTGAGCAACAGAACCCAATTACTACGTAAAAATAATATTCCATACAGTGTTGGGTGTGAATGTAATGCAGTGCCTGATGAAGTCTTCCTTTCCCATTTGATGCCTGTGCACAGAACACTGCTTAGCCATAAGCCTTCAGATCACTGAACGGAAACTGAACAGGCTAGATAAATGGAAAGAGAATTTTCATTGCAGAAGACTGCAATGAAAATTGCAGTCACAGCCAAAGGGACTAAAACTTACTGCTTTGCTACTGCATCTTTGCCATTAGTGTATTGCTAAGATTTGCCACAGGTATCGTAGCTTTCGAACCTGCACCTTCAAAGTTTAAAAATTCTCTCTTTTCCCTCCCTCTGCAGGGTTCCTGCACTTATCCTGTACAGTTACCGAGACGAATACAAGGTTTTGTTTTAGTGCTTAAAGCATCGTTTATGGGATGCTTTTACTAACAGACAACAGTGTTTTGTCAAAAGGAATTTCAAAAAGCTGTATAATGCAAGACAGGCAACTAATGCCTTTTTATATGTCCAGATGGAATTTCATGTGTAACATAAACCTGTAAATTTATGTCAAAAAGTGGAAATAAATGTTTTATAAGCAATTAAGGAGCAAGTCTGACTACAGCCACAGATATGTATTATCATGTAATCTTGCCCCTTATGCCACAAAAGAGATTATCAGCTCTGCAGGTGTAAAACTACTTTTTTTTTTTAAATGGTTTCAGAATGCCTTTTATGTCAACATGCAACAGTAGTACTGAAATCAGAAATTCAGTTCAAGGATTAGAGAGGATGAATTATCTTCAACTCTAACAAACTGTTTTAAACTTTTTTGAAGAAGGGTTTTTATGTAATAAAAGGTTTGGCTGCTGAGCCTTCTTGAAACATGTATTACAAGCCTTTTGTGGTTGTGTGTTTTGTTTTTTTTTAACCCTACTGTTTTAATTTCTATATAAGAGATGGTAGATTTCAAGCTGAGAGAGTTGTTGCAAGCCTGGCTGCCTGTGCTTGTCCTGCCTGTACTTTTGCATTCAAATCAAGCAGCAGTTTCCTGGGAGATGAAATAAGACCTGATACAGGAAAAACTTGTTTTGGACCTAAACCTAAGACTTTGAAGAGAAACAGTAACCTGCATGTGCAGAGGTATAACCAAAGTTTTGAACTAGCTTTCTTCACAGGGGTTGTCAGATTGTTTGAAGTGAAAGTCATAGTAATGATGGGAATCTTGTAATTATCTTCTTGAAGCTATAGTTACCTATGCATTGTATTTCACATCAAACTACTTATAATACTGGAGTGAATATGCAGAAAAGTGTTTACCCTTCCTCCCCAGCTGGTACCTTCTGTTTAAACAGCTTACTCCTGTTTCTTTAACTAACTCAAGTGATTGCCCTTAGCACTGCAGGCTCATTGCATTAAGAAATACCTACTTACTTTTTCTGCCCCTTTCTTGTAGTAAAGAGGAGTGCAAAGTTAATATGTAAAAAGGTAACTTTAAAGACGAACCCAAGAACTTCTGAGAACTGTGAAAGTTGTAACAGCCAACACACTAAGTAGCATCAGGGGAGGAGAATCCTACAGGCACAGATAACCATACTATTCCTAGCAATTCACCAAGACAAGTCACACCAGTCATTACAACCAAATCCATTTCTTATTGTGTTTAATAGGAACAATTAAGTATTCACCTTTTACATCTGCTCATATGAAGGAGCTACTTTAAGATGTGAAATAGAGGGAAATTCAGATCCCTGAATGTACTGAAGGATGAAGTTTAAAAAAAAAAAAAATTTAGGTGACATGAGCATTTTTAAGCCATGTCTGAAGGGAACATGATGCAGAGTCCTGCCCTCCCCCCCCACCCTGAGCCAAGGTCAGCACAGCTGGATCAGCATGGAGCAAAGGCACAGCTGGCTCAAGCACTGTGCTGGCTGCCATAGGGATATCTGCACTGCATCACGTAGACACGTCCCTCAAAATAAGACAGAAACAGGAAAGCTGCTGTTCCTGATAATATATTGGCACCCACTTTCCCTAGTACTACTGAGGCTTATCTATAAAACTGGGCATCTGTCACTTAGACTCCTGCTCCAGTCTTACTTTGCTCCTGGAACGGTACATTTCTCTTCACCCTATGTTACACCCCACACAGGTTTTACGCTGCCCACTTGTATAATACAAAATAAACAGCAGTATAAGTACAAAACTAGTTGGCAGCTGAGTGTAAAGCTATTTCAGTATAACCCTGTAAATACTCCTGCCATACAACAATCCACAGAAAGCACCTTCCGCTCTCAGTTTAAATGAAAGTACTGATCACATCACAGTATCCTCCTGGAAGGAAAGCCAAAGACAAGTGGTAACTCAAAAAGAAATGGACTTTGCTTTGGGCAAGGGTGAGGTCTGTTATAGTGACGGTAGGACACCGTTCCATCACTGTGTTGCTTTACTCTTCTTGTTTTTGCTTTTCTTGTCTTTTTTCTTCAAGCCATCCATGTTAGCTCTCAGCAAATTTGAATATGCCTGAAACAACAATCGGAACAAATTAAAAGAACAAATACTTAAGTGACAATATACTAGAGGTAACATTTTACATAATGCTAATGCATTTTCTCGTGTTAGAGAATCATGCTCTTACACCCTACACTGGGAAACTATTATTTCTAAACCAATGCAAAGAGTTAGATAAAATAGAACGGGATTTTTTTTTTTTTTAAACAAATGCAGACAGATGGGTAGTCTAAGGTTAATCTGTATGCCAGTTCAGCACTGAATCAACCCATTCACAGCTGTCCAGTGCTTCCTACTGACCACTCCCCAATACCTACAGAAAAGGAAGATAAAAGGCATATAAAACTTACCATCTGGAATTTATTTACTTCCTTTGAGCTCACCTACAAAAGTAATACTGGAGGTTAACCAAGAAAACACTGGCTTCTGTTACAAACCAAGTATCAGTACGTGTTTACCCACCAGTGACCATCTAGTCTTTTTAGCAGCAGTTGGATCAACTCACCACATTCAGTGGTAGGTAGGCTGTACTGACATGTCATAGGACTTCACTGATTCAGAAAACTGAACACACTCCTTACTTGATTAACAAAATCCTCTGGAGGCCATTCGTCCCAAATCCATGTGTTTTCAAATGGGAAGAATGTGAAGAAACATTCTAAGGAAGGTTTTATTTACTTGTAGGTCCATAAAAATACATTGCAGCCCAGATTCTCTCAACTATTTCTCAAAGAAACATTTTTCCTTGGGTTACATCACAGAGGAGAGCTAGTCAGCTAAAGCCTTTCCCAATCTCTCATTCAAAGTAAACACACATCAGGTTTTCAACTTCTAGTTAACATTCCCTGAAATACAAATAGCTCTGTAAATGAGAAAAAAATAGGTATGCTGAGCAAGATTAAGGCTTAGAGGAGTCTACCCACGCCCACACATTCTTGTCAGGACACAAGGATCCCTTTCCTACTGTTTCACAGTCTGGGAACATTCAGTTCTTTCCTGGGTTGTAAGAACCTCCAGTAATTCCATTGAGGTCTATAGGAAACTACCTCTGTCACCCGAGGCTTGAGTGTAGGTGTGCAGGACCCTTCTCCTTGGAGCCACATCATTTGTCCTCAGGACAGATCTGGAACCTGCAGTATGTGTCCTTCTGCCCCTGTCTCTAGAAGCAGTTTCCCCCTTCCCTCCACACAATTTCACCTGACTCAAAACACAACAGCCAAGGTTGCTGAAAACAGGCAGAGTCCCTTTCTGCTGTCCTGCAATACCATTCTGAAGCAAAATCCAGCATACAGAGCACAACTATAAACTACTGTCCCATCTGTAATGCTGAGTGTAAACATTAAGACTTCACGTAAGTTTAACACTTCAGCATCCCAACTTCAGCTGTGTGTTTAGCTACCATATGGTTTCTCTGGAATTAAGAGGGTAGTTCTCATGAAATTCATGTAAAGACAAATTTCACTTAAAATACAGGGCATTAAATAGAAGACAAGCAGGGCCACTAATCTTTCTAACCCAAAGTTGTCACTTACCACTGTGCTAATTTTCTTCTTTCCATCAGTTGCTCTTAGAAGACACTTATTGTCTGCTGGTTCGAAACTTTCTACGTGGCCTTTGCGTGGGACTGGTTTTGTTCGGCCATCATCTGTATTGAAAGACAGAGAATGCTTATTCATATTTCACTAAAATCATGCATGCCTCCTGACACGAGATGTTAAAAATTGCTCATGAGGAGATCTGTAAAACACCTTGAAATTTAAGGCCATTTGAACCGATACTGCTGCCAAATTGTTCACAGACCCCTTCCTCTGGGTCCTGGTTTTGGCTGGGATAGAGTTGTTTTCTTCCTAGTAGCTGGTACAGTGCTGTGTTTTGGATTTAGCATGAGGATAATGTGGTAACACACCGATGTTTTAGTTGTTGCTAAGTGGTGTTTAAACTAAGGCAAGGACTTTTCAGTTTCCCATACTCTGCCAGAGAGGGAAGTGCACAAGAAGCTGGGAGGGGGCACAGCCAGGACAGCTGACCCAAACTGGCCAAAGGGATATTCCATACCATGTGACGTCATGCTCAGTATATAAACTGGGGGGCAGCAACCGCTGCTCAGGGACTGGCTGGGCATCGGTCAGCAGGCAGTGGCATCACTTCTTTTTTTTTTTTCCCCCTTTCCTTGGGCTTTTGGTTTTTTCTCTCTCTCTTGTTGTTTTACTTTCCATTACAATTTATTATTATTATTTTATTACTTCATCTTATCTGAACCCACAAGTTTTCTTGCTTTTGCTCTTCTGATTCTCTCCCCCATCCCACCAGGGCGGGGGGAGGGTGAGCAAGCAGCTGTGTGGTGCTCAGTTGCCGACTGGGGTTAAACCACGACACTCTGTAACCCCAGAAGGATCTGTTTCATAAACTACATCCGCCAGGAAAAAAATGTAAATCCTTGCCCTGACACGCTGTATGAACTGCCTGCTTCAGCAGCAGTATGTTTTAAATGCATGTCAAACTGCAGCCTAGGACACTTGACTTCTCAAGTAGTGCCAGCTCGCCAGAAACCAGAGAAACATAAACACACAAAAGCAACGCTATAATTCTCCTTTTATAGAATTCTAAGGACTTCCGATTATTGTTTAATAATTAAAGTCCCAATATTTCCTGCAGTTTGAAATACAGTCTTACTTCAAGGTTACTAGTACTGCAGCTAAGATGATTGATTTGTCCATACGATTACTGTTGTTTTCAGAGACTCTGAATTACAACTGTATCTTTTAAAATACATGCTAACAACGGTAAGTTTGACTTCGATGAACGCCTCTTTAATCCAGTAACAGACTTAAAACTTACATTTCTTCAGCGTTATGAAAACACTCCCCGAAGTTCTGCACTTTTGAAAGAGTCTGGTAAGCTCTGTCAGGAACTGCAAGAGAAAGAGACCCCATCCTTGGCTGGAGGCCACCACACAGGCGTTTCTCCCTCCTCCCTGTGCAGCCCGGCGCCGCGCCGCCCGGGGCGCAGCCCCTGCCTCGCTCCGGCGGCGCCGCTACCACAGGCCGGCCCTCGCAGTTACGCGGGAATAAGCACCAGGGGAAGGAGAACTCCCGGTTTTTCTGTCAGGAACTGCAAGAGAAAGAGACCCCATCCTTGGCTGGAGGCCACCACACAGGCGTTTCTCCCTCCTCCCTGTGCAGCCCGGCGCCGCGCCGCCCGGGGCGCAGCCCCTGCCTCGCTCCGGCGGCGCCGCTACCACAGGCCGGCCCTCGCAGTTACGCGGGAATAAGCACCAGGGGAAGGAGAACTCCCGGTTTTTCCCACGCTGAAGCTGCAGGGCCCCCGGTCCCCGCCGGGGACGGCCCAGCCCGAGGGTCCGACTCCGGAACACGGGGTCTAAACCCCCCGGACCTACCGCGGCCCCAGCGTTTCCGCCCTCCCTCCCTCCCTCCCTCGCCCAAGTCGCCGGC